GCGCCGGGCGCGCTCTTGCAGCCGGGGCCGCAGCGCCTTGCGGGGCTGGTCGCGCTGGCCGACACCGTCTACGACGACCTGCGGTCCTGCTACAGCATCTACGCCGGCCTCTTCCACAGGTGGGTCGGGCGCCGCCTGCCGCCTCAAACCCGGTCCCCGGGGCGGCAGGGGGCGCCCGAGGACGGGCCCCAGGTGTGTCTTTTGCAGCATCAAGGTCGACATCTTCACCCTCACCTTCCGGCAGCTGGAGCGTCTGGTGAGGGGCAGCGGGAGGGCCGGTCCAGGAGGGGCCCCCTCTCCGTCGCTGGCGCACTGACCCCACCCTCCCGGGCAGGTGGCTGAGGAGGCCTGGGTGCTCGCGGAGGAGCTGAGCCCCAGCCTGACCCTCGAGGTGGCCGCGGCGCTGTGTGAGCTCTACCTGACCCTGGCAGACATCCAGCGCCTCTGGCGCTGCCTCCCCGGCCGGTGGGCGCTGGCCCTGCCTGCCCCTCTCCCTCCCCTGTCCACCTGCACCTCACCGCTGCCCTCCCCTCCAGCGGCCTGTCAGGTCCTCTCCCCTGGTCCCTCCGTCCCAGCCGCCCCCACAACAGGAGGGTCCTGGAAGGGGTTCCGCGTCGAGCCCCGGCTGGTCTCCTGTCAGGGGCGGCCGCGCCCTGGCCCTGGCCGGCGTCCATGAGCCGTTTCTGCCCGCCGTGAAGCTCTGGCTGCAGGCGCTGCGGGACCAGGCCAAGGGGCAGCTTCAGGGCGCCGTGGAGGTGGACACAGTGAGTGGGCCCTGCCCAGCCTGCCCTGCCGGCCCGCGGGGCGCCGGCCACAGGGCTCCTCCTGCCTCCCCAGCTGGAGCCCACGGAGGTCTCTGCCAAGCACAGCAGCTCCGCGGCCACGGCAAGCCTGTGCTTCGGCCACATCCAGGAGCTCTGGGCCCGCCTGGCGTGGCCGGACCCTGCCCAGGCCCAGGAGTTGGGCGCGCAGCTCGGCCAGGTGCGCTAGACCTGGGGGTGGGGACAGCAGCGGCGTGCGCCAGGGCCTGGGGGCGGCGAGCAGGGGTGCGCCCCTCCTGAGCCCTGTGCCCACCCAGGACCTGGGGGAGGTGGCCCTCTTCTACACGGAGCTGCTGCGCAGGAGGGTGGACACCCAGCCCAGGGCCCCCGGCGAGGCGGCGACCGAGCAGGTGAGCCGGTGGGTGGGGAGCGCGGGGCCGGCTGGACCCTGGCCATCCTCGTCCCCCAGCTCTGCGTGGTGCTCAGCGACGTGCAGCTGGTGCGCAAGGCCGCCGCGCAGGCGCTGTGGGGCCTGGCCCCACCCGGGGGGGCCCCCCGCCCCCTGCTCAGCTGCACGCAGGCCCTGGAGGAGGACCTGCAGCAGGAGGCCAGCACCGTGACGGCGCACCTGACCTCGCAGGTGGGCAGGGTGGGAGGGGCTGCCCCGCCTCCCCGCCTCCCCCGCTGAGTGCCGCCCCCGCAGATGGCGGGCGACGTGAGGAAGTACGTGCAGCACGTCGGGCTCTCCCCGGACTCCATCCAGAGCGAGGAGGTGAGGCTGCGGCCGCGGGGGCCTGGGCGGCAGCTGCTGGGCGGGGCGCAGGACGGCCCTGAGGACGCCCCCCGCAGGCGGCAGCCCCGCTGCTCAAGTACCTGGACCGGAGGCTGGCCCT